CTGATGGTAGCTCAGCAATCCACAAATTAACTGCCACTCTTGCAATGAGAAATGTTTAAATTATTTTCCAAGTTTAAGCTCTTAATTTGGAATATGCAGGATCATCAAAAGTGCCGATGACACTTTTCCTCATCAGTTTATCCAGTTCTGGATTGGGTCACAATCTCCTTGACCATAAAAATAATCAACCAAGTAATCTATTTCTCAGCCAAAGCCACCAGATTTGCATTCATGTAACAGACTTATAGTACATGCACATGCAATTTAGGAAACAAAGAACTTGAGCAAATCATGCTTTTGAAAATTTCAATTCAATGCAACAGCTTACAACAGGTCCAGACCTACTAATGTTACCGTGCCCTCAGAGCTACATGTACATTGTACTTGCTTGATGACCGTACCACCAATGGACCACATACATGTATACAAGTACAATGTACAAGCCCTGTTGGTGCCACACAGGAAATCATGTTACACTTTTTTGACCAGTCACCACAATATTTCCCAACCTTAACTTAAAAAAATCACTAGGTTCTTTGGAACTGTGAGGGAAATCCTTAAAAATGTCATTCATTCAAGAACTGGCTCTTACAGAAAATCTGCAAGTATTAACAGTGAAACCCTGTAGACATGTACCGAAACTGTAAGCTCTCAAAATAGCGGAAAACGAACACTAGAACTTTGGATAGCACAATGTTCTTCTCCACTCCTGTACAGTTTGACTAAATGATGTTTTTCAGTAAAACCTATTGGAAAGAATTCATGAAGATCCACTAGCTACCCGACTGTGGACTCACCAGTTTTCAATGTGTACTCATTCCAAGGGTATTCCTCGCAAAGCATTGAACAGGTATATTAAATGGTACATTTCTTCTTCACATCTCGTCTTCACAGAAGAGATACCAGTACTTGTATAGTACATAGTTGTAGCCACAAGCTATCATCTACATGTACATGTGTACGTGTACCTTTGTAGAACATACAATTACTGGTACATGTAGTGTTGGACAAATCCATGCAGGAATTGGTAATAGATTCCAAACTTGGAATCGAAGTCAAGATTTCACTTTTTGAGGAATCTACATGTGATCCATACAAGTCATTGATTCCATTCCCTTGAGATCCGATTCCAGAATGCATCCAGCAATTCCGCCATATTACAGGTGATTTGGGAGTTCATGAAGGGACGATACTGGTACTTACCGGTACATATACCTGTTAAACCGTACATATTGTACCAGTATTTCTCTACTGAGCCTAAGGATCCAATTTGCCAGTGCTTACATACCACAATAAACAGTGTCTTCAGCGTATTATGCAAAAGCATAACGCTCACAGATCACTGCATGCAGTGTGCAGAATTCTGGCAACTTGCCAATGCCTAATACCACACAGGCTTCATATTCAATGCAAATGAGATTGCTACATTATACACGTCAATCATCCTGTGAAAACTTTCTTACACTAATGGTTGTGACCTCAACAAAAGTTACAATGTGACAGCCTTCTATTCTTCGTTTGAATGGTGTGTTGCCCCCCCCCCTTACCCCACTTCTTGGATAGACTTTATTTCGAGTCTGGAACACACACGACCCAGTTGAAAATGCTGTGTTGATTAGACAACTGGGGCATAGAAAAGGCAATCGTCATGTAACACAAGATACCAGAAAAGTATTTCCCCATACACATACATGTACTGGTACCAAAAGCTGTGTACTAGTGAACTGCTGATCTACAGAGTTCATGATCTACTATTGAAATGTACATGTACTGTCTTGAATCTATTCCATGAAAACACATGCCCAAGTGGATTCACCGATATTTCCGCAAAGCAACAGTTAACAAACCTCTGCTCAAAGCCAAAATGAATGCGACTCAACTGATAATTCAAGTTTCTAGATCATTTGGACATTTTGTCAGAGGACTTCCACAATTGGTCAGACATGTACATGTATGCAGTAAATGGAGACTTCAATGCCCGTGCTGGTCATGATCATGCCACCTGGTCCCCAGTCACTAAATGGTGACAGACTGCTAGCACGTTAAACAGAATTCTACCTGGCCAATCAAAAACACATTCATTACGCTACACAGCCATCACTGCAACACCTGGCAAAACCCAAGATCCAAACATAGGCACCTATTAGATTACATCATCACCAAAAGAGCCCACCTCTCTGATGTCTGCATCACATGAGCTCTGCATGGTGCTGACTACCTACATGTACATGCAACAGACCACATCATAATTCACCTTAAGCTAAGATTTCACATTCATGTGCAACAGCATAGAACCGAAGTCTGAATGGCTGCCGGCATAGACGGAATCGTAACTGAAGTGATCTAGGCAGGTGGTGACAAGCTGCTCCATGCTCTATACGAGCTATTCATCCACTGTTGGGAGACTAATTAGCTTCCGCAACAGTTCCATCATGCCGTTATTGTCACCAACTTCGAACGTTAGGGAGATTGACGTGATTGTGGGAACTAACATGGAATTTCGCTCTTAATTGTCAGTCTAAGGCAAAGTATTTTGGCAAACTACCGCTATCTCGCCTTATGCCAGTCCCTGATTCTGCTCTCCCAGAATCATCATAACGTGGATTTGGGGCAGCACGCAGCACCATTGATATTATCTTCACTGTATGACAACTGCAAGGGAAAACCATCAAAGAACGGTCTGCCTTTACTGATACTGTTTGTGTATTATGATTTCAATAATTGCTTATCAACTAAAGGCTGCATTATTATCTGTGTTTGTGTTCAATTCAAAAGCGGAAATCTTACTAAAGATCAATCCAAAGGAAAACGGTCACACACAAAACACAGAAAGTGCATCTTCAAATCAAATTTGAATTGATGTGAAATACCTATTAAGCACTTCATTCAATATTTATTTTTTCTCAGCTGAAGTTGGTTTGCCAACAGAAGGGCTTTCCATTGTGAAACAACACATTTTGGGTGTGAGAAATTTCCACAGATGTGGATGTAAGAGGACACGGTTTCCTGCAAAGTTTGTTACATCCAAAACCACCTGTTACAAAACCCACTTATTCTTGGGGGACATTATGCGAGTCATCTGCCAATGCTTAGAGGAGTTACTCACTTAAACAGATACACATCACAGGGGGATAACATATTTGACGAATCGATAAATTTTCAATTGATGGATTTTAAATAACAAGTGTTGCCAATTGAATCCTAAAGAAGAACAAATAAAAATGCTGTCTTGTTGTTTTCCCAATGACTGAAACAGAACTTTTTTTAATTCACGTATTGATACTTCTAAGTATTTTTACCGTAACTAATTTGTTTTCTTAGTATTTTGAGAAACCACCCAAATCTAGTATAGTTTCCAGCATTACATCCACAACCTGCAGATTGCCATATACAACAAACAAGGCTCTGTGTTAGTTAACCTGCCGTGGATTTTTATAAAAGCACCACTAGTTTAGCAAAATACAGTTATCTTCAATGCTTTAGATAATGCCTAAATCAATTGCAAATGCAACCAATCTTTTGCCAGTACGATCATAGTTTCACCATACAATTGCCATTTGCAACTTTAAGCTTAAAAAGTACATACAAAATGTACTTGAACAATTTTGAGTATGCTTGAAAATCTAAAAAGCAATGATTATGTAAGTAAACTGGAATGGTTTGTGGTAGCACCATATACATGTACCTCCACCATAAAAAGCTTCAAATCTCAATGATTATGTACTCAAAATTCATTCCAGAAAGGTAAATGACAGCCAAATCGCATTGTGAATTGTCCATCCACGCCAGCCAAAGAACCATGACCCGGTCCAAAACACGTACACCGTACATGTATGTCACACAATGTACATATCATAATACGAGTGCCATTGAGGTCAATCCACTGATGAAATCAGGGTTCTCACCAAGGATTTACTGCCACAGCCATTATGATATCCATAGTTTCAGCGTGTTGCAGGACACCCTGCTGCATAAATCGCACTATTTCAGACATACTCTAAATCACAGTGACACCCTTTAATTCAAGAATGAGCTCCGCTCCAGGCTTTATTTATGCTACAGCTAAAAATGGAGCCCAAGCCGTGGTTTAGAGAACGGCCCTGGTGTCCATATACAGTGCATCAACAACGTCGTACTTGTGCAGATCGTGCGTGTGATTGTGACATGTGTACAGTACATGTATGATGTACAGCTTTAAGTGTGTGCATACGTTCACGAATATTCAGCGCACGTGGCGATTAGTAGCGCAGTTCTGTCAAATTTGTGCACAAGTAACTTACCAACTTGAACTTTCCATGTTTATTGTCACATGTACTAATTGTACATAAGTTTTACTTTTATTGCTGCCTTTTTTGCAGCAAAAACAGTGTTTTCCCTTTCGCATGTTTAGGGTTCAATTGATTACTTATGGTAAGTTCTTAAAGGTGCCTTTTGCTGTCATTTTGTAAGATGGACCAATTTGGCAGTTTGTTATTAAGAGGGTCCAGAATTTTCTGCTCTGTAAAATCAAATTCTTCTTTCTTATGCTTTCTAAATTTACCATTTTTTGCATGTTCATTTTTTTCTCAGCAGTTTTTTCTCAGTCCAAATTCCGTCATGAAATAAAGTCAAGAATAGTGCGCATGGGTCAGCCACAGTAACACGCTTCTTCATTTGGCTCTGCAAATTAATTTATTTCTTATTAACGTATTGAGATTTACATGTAGTCTCACTAATTGTCTTAGTTGTGGTCATAATCAGCTTTCTACTACATGTACAAACTGATCATGTTGAATGTACCAGAAGTCAAAAAGAGCCACACATCTGGGCAACGGCGCCAGGGTACATGTACATCACACGATGCACATGTAATGTGCCATGGGCAAGGTGAAGGCCGTAAATCTGCACGAGACTGACACACATCAAATTACTTTGGTCTGCTGATAAAGTGAGGATCCTGGGAAGCGCGACTAAATTTCTCAAGAACAATCTTTTCAAGGGTTATCCAATTTTTTTGACAGATAATGAACTACTCAAGATAAGACATCAGCATCAAATACTGAGGGAAAAGCATCTTTTCAGTCTCCGCAAGGACTTTCGCGTGAAATATGCAAATATACAAACATGCAGTGCAGTATATATTGCGGGAGTTGTTGATTCAACTCACTCTTCGCTGAGCAGCTGTGACCCACTCTCCCTCAACCTGCCCATCCCCACAAACAGGCCAGTAACAGGATTCTTAATTATAGACTTGATTGAAAAAGGGGGGCATGACCCTCGTCCAACGTACGCCCAGGTCGCGTCCATGGTTCCTCCATAAGATGGGGGTTTTACATGGCCACTGAGTGCTGAACTGTAAAGTTCAGATTGACGTTGGGCACCGAATTAGTCTAAGAATCCCACGACTCTACATTTTCAAATTCTTTATGAATATTTTGACCACATATGCTTATTTGTTTCTAGATTGAGGTTTTATCTTGGGTTAGCCCCTTATGATATTAATTTAAAAAAAACAGAAAAAAAGAGTTACCAAGAAAAGCACAGTTGGCAGCTTTGTTGACCTATATATACACCATTTGCAGGTACTGAAAGCAACTTTGGACGCTTTCCTGATTTCAATATCCATCCCATTTCTGGGTACTGGAAGCAAATCTGGTTACTCTGTCAATTTTCATGCCCACCCCACTGCGGGTATCGAAAGCAACTTTGCTGCTTTTCTTGTTGTTCTTTTCCTGAATTCCAGATAAATGGATGAAGCTCTCCGACAGCATCAGCGACCCCAACCTGTGACACATCACCCTCAATCTTCTCCAACGTTACTCACGTCAGCAAGAGTGCCATCCACTATGAAAACATACAGTGCTTCCTGGAAAAAGTGGGAGTTGTGGGCATCCTCCTAGACCAGGGTGCCAATCTTTTCAATAGAGCCGCTATATGTATCTTCACTCCTCCGAAGTATGCAAAAATCTGCAGCAGACACTGCATCAGCTGTAGTCAATTGGGTTCATAGTTTAGCTGGAGTATCATCACCTACAGATAGCTTGTTGGTCAAGATGGCACTACAAGGCTACAGGAGGTTAACAGCATCAACTCCACTGAGAAAAGAGCCTGTAACATCCGAGATAATGGCAAGCTTGTACAGAGCGTGCGGGCACTCCGATGCATGGGGCTGGATGACCTACGAATACTATTCACTTGCTTTATTTGCTACACTGGATTTCTACATTTCAGCAACATTAGCAATGTCCAGAGAATGGACTGTACTATTTTAGAGGACACGCTAATCACCTATTTAACCAAGTCAAAAACTGACCAGTTCCGCTAAGGTACATGTACATGTAGTGATATCACTATTGGTAGAACATTTAAACCATCCTGCCTGGTGGTAATTGCTGAGCGATACTTCCCAGCCATGGGTGACCCAGTAGATTCGCCGCAACTAGTACTTCACAGAATCATGTGATCCAAAACTGGGCAGGCGCCGATGAATTGTGGAGTCAATTACATGTACACAAGAACTTGGGATATCGTACTATGTACATGTAGAAGTACTAAAAACCATTTGTTCCTGATATCCCTAGCTATGGCCTCCACAGCCTTAGATTGGGAGGTGCATCTGCTATCTTTTTTTTTTACCTAATTGCACAGCACAGCAGACGGACAGATAAAAAACGCTTACAGTGTACATCAAAAGCGATCATGCAGCGTCTTTGCTCCCTTCCACAGCATGGGAAGTTGAGCTAGTAAATCATCATGTACAAGTCCAATGCGGTCGATTCACAATGGTACGCCTCCTGGAGTTTGCAATGCGTTGACCAATCATAGCGAGAAACCTGTCGACCCTTTCCAAACGCGCGTTGGGTTGACAGATTCTGAGCATGGTGATTGGCCATTGCGTTGCAAACTATTGGAAGCGCACTATTGTAAACTGACCGTATTATCAAGACATTGTGAAGTTTAAATTCTGTGATTTTCAGAATTTATTACTAGATGAGGAATGAATAAATAGTGGTGTGCAAGTTGTGAGGCAACAAGCAGCTCCACCATTCCACTCATTCACTAACTTTGTTTCCACTAATCTCTATAGTTTTGTTTATTTTTATAAGAAAATTATTTTCTGACAGAAGCATGGAGGAAGAAATTCCAGACGATCTTGGTTGTGGGAGCTAAGTAAGCAATCATGTAGGTCTAAACTCCATTTGCTGAGGGAAATCACATGCATCTGGATGTATGGTACAAGTACATTTAGCATGTTCAAGGATCATGTATACAGCCTTATTTACAATTCCATGTATGTTCATGAGTGAGACTAATTAGTACAAATGTTCATCAATTTCATGTTGAGAACATTCTGACCAATGGTATACAATATGCCATTTACTGATTCCAGAACAGATACTGACACAAATCTAGACATGCCTGATATTAAATGCGAGTATTATGATCAATACCAGTTTGTCGATAATTTTTCTTAAGTACATGTACATGTAGATGACTTTAATCGCAGATCCCAAACCTCTGCTTAATTGCTCGAAACTCTGCTTTATCACAAATCCTAAACCGGTTCCACTTCTAATTTAAAACATTCCATTATGGATAACAATGGGCAGTTACGGGTCCTTGACACAAAGAGAAAGTCTCAGATTAGCTCAATTCTAGCGTGGACTGATGCCTTTCTTGTTTAGCATCAGTATTTTTAAGAGCACACCCATGCAGGAGTCAAGTACATGCATGTCATCAGGACAGCAGCAGCACACTTTCCCGGCCATGGTTGGATTGAATATGACAGGCAGTTCAGAATGCACCAGCAGTCACACCCAACTCGGTCATGGGCAGTAATTGACGGGGAACTATGGGCACTTCACAGGACTGCACCTAGAATCCCTAATACATACAGTGTACGTTGCAGGCTCAAGGGGCACTCAGGGGGGCAAAACATTCGGGGAGTTCCTTTTGTTGGTTCCCTCAACAAACCATTTACAGCACAGGCTTGTGTTTCCCATGCAATCGATCTTCATGCCCAAATTCCCAATGCAAGTACGCGCACCAATGCCTCGGATGCAATGCCGTCGGACACAGACTTGCTGCATGCAAAGTCGGCAAAGGCAAACCATCCGCCACCAACCAGTAAACTGTGCGCTATGCAACCACCCTGCAGGTTTGGCAATCTTTGTGTATGCTGCCTTGCTCCAACACCAATTAAACTCTTATAGGGTCGTCATGAGAAGTCAGTATTGATTCAGTGTTGTTACCAACTTTATTTGCAAGAACGACCGATAAGGTTGCGATAGAATTGTAAGCTAACTGTTGACTGAATTGGAGAATTGAAAAACAGACTATTACTGCATTCTGGATACGGGATACTGGACTTACATGTACATTGTAAATACAGTTAGAAACAGGATGTAGTTAAAGTCACATAACTAAGCGAAGTTCGATCGGCATCAATGGCATACCAAGCACAGACCTTAAAGCAAAAATAGTACTAAAATACATGTACATGTAATTATGTCATGATGACGTTATCAAGTGGTTTATTTTTAAATTTTGAATATTTAAATATTATGATACGTTTTTTTAAATCCATAGAAAATCTAGCTTGGCCTCCCGCCTGCAGCATTCTGTTTGCAGCAAGTGGCAGAGTAAAATGTGGTCTTTAATTCATCTTGTGTAGGTCAAATCACGTGACCCTTTCTTCCCTTCGAAACCGGAAGTGAGCTTACTGTTTAAAAGTGCTAAAAGATATTGACTTGTTTTCATCGGTGTTAGTCGCTTTGGGTACTGTACACTTCAAAACACCTACTGGTGATGTCACGAAATTGTCAAGCGCCCTCTAGCAACAGGTTGAAAATTCTGAAAAAAATGAATTTTGAATAGATGTCTGTGGCAAAGTTTCTTGGAATCCCCTGAAAATTGGATCTAATGATATTTACCCATTCAACACATTTGTGAAGTTTGGGGCTGATGACGTTGAAGTAAAAAAGTTTCAATAAAAAGTCCTTTTCCTCTTAAAAGTGCAGTAAAATCAACCGTAAAGACAAAAGCGTGAATTAACCCCCTCACAATATTTGTGAACTCGAAAATTTATCCTATTCGCATACTGTGCATTGGCTACTTTGTGCGTGGACGCACAATATCTGCCTATAACATACATGTAGGCAGCGCAGTACATGTCTAATTGCACTGAAACCTTGCAGATAGTCAGAAAGGGAAGGTTTATAAACGGAGATTCACCTCATATGATGATAATGTCATATGATGATTCACGTGACATTAAAGGTGCATCCTTTAAAGTACCAGTACTACCATTCAGTGCATGTATATCTTCTGAAGTACATGTCCAATTGGGTTGAAACTTGGGCAGATATTTACAAAGGGAAGTGTTATAGACAAAATTGACCTCATGTGATGATGACGTCATCAGAGGACCCCATCACGTAACATTAACCCTAATACTCCTCAAACCTTCACCTGTTGGAGGACTGAGGACTGTTAGGGTTAAAGGTACACTCGTCAAAGCAGTATATCTGGTGAAGTGCAAGTGCGATCGGTTTCAAATCTTGCAGATACATGTATCGTGGAAGTGGAGTGCTTTAGACAAACAATGATCTGATGAGATGATGACGTCATCAGGAGACAAGTCACGGCATTAAAGGTACATTCTGTATGAGCCTATATCTTGTGAACTACATGTTTTATTGCTTTGAAATTTGCTAGAAAGCTAGAATGGGAAGTGTTATAGACAAGATGACATGATGTACAGTTAAAGGATATAAACTTTAATTCGTTATATCCTCAAGGGTTTGAATTTTTTGTCACAATGAGGTCACCAAAAATATTACTAGAAACTTTGGGAAGAAGTGAGAAATCCATGTGTGATAGTATCTCAAATGAAGGGATGCCCTTTTCTTAAGAAAAAAAAATAAATATCCGAAAAAGCCCTTCGCTATGTCCATCAGAGTTCAGACAGACAAACCTAGTTTTTCTTTTCCTTTCATCCAATGTGCTTGGCTTTGCCCATATGGAGGGAGGATTGGCAATTCCCTGAGTTGGGAAATTGCTTGGCAGTTTCTTTATGAGAAAATAGATCCTTGCCAACCCCAGCCTTGGTGTTTTTCCCTGCTGGGGCTCCCCTTGTAGCCTGAGGGGTAAGACGGGCCGTATAACTTTTGTTGACCAGAGAAAAATGGCATTTTGACCTGTTTTTAGTACCATAAACATGTACTCATTTATTATTCATGCATGTAAATCACTTGTAAGTCACATGTAAAACACATATAAATCTCAAATTCAACTGTTATAAGGTTTTTAGAAGTTAACTACAATGTAACTGCTGTTTGCGGATGTTGTCATGTTTATGATAACGTTGTTAATGCAAACAATCAAAATGTTTGATCAAGCAAAAATGATTCTGATAACTTGTGTTGTAATTATTGGATGTGAAGTTTATTGGTTTACACGATGTATGAGAGTTTACACTCAATAAAATCCACGGGGGTAGTCATGTCCAAGTAGCACTTCTGTTTCCGTGTGTACCTCCTTTCCTCCGGGCCCAAATAGAAATGGAAAGTTAAGCATCTAAAAATTTGTAGCTTTTGTTCAAGAAAACAGGCTTTGTCACTACCTGGACCGGGGTGTGTTGTCAAATTCATGATCTCGTTATTACCCATCTCACATTGGTGAGAGTCAACTATAACATGACTGATCTATTGTGAGACCCTAACATACACCAAACATTATTGATTCTCTCCATAAACAATACATGTACATGTAGGGCCTACTGTGTGGTACATGTACATGTGGCACAAAACGTTTCTGGCAAGAAAGAAAATGGGTTGGTAACTCACCTCCTAACAGCCTTCTTTCACTCCTTGCTCCTCTGGTTTCATCTCTTCTCATGGTGATCTCTCCATCCTTAGCTAATATGCCCAAAGGCAAAAGATAGAAGGCACCCTGGAATAATGTTAAAGAAAAGAAATTAAAGTCATGAATGTGCAAGTCAACATTCTTTTGCAGTGTTAAATGTATTGATTACAACTTCTTTGAAATAAATTTTGATTAAACGTTCAAGACAATATTTCAACTGGAAATCAAATATAAAATAGGGAATGTAAGCAATCTCTCAGCGACCACAAACTGTGACATGGAGATGTTTTTTATCCCAACATTTTTTCATGATTAGAATAATCTTATCATATCGATATCACATATTATTATTAAAACCAGAATATTACGATGATGCAATCAATGCAGTCGCACAAGGAAAGCTCCACTAATCCCCAGCAACAGACAGTCAAACGTCAAAATTAAATAAAGTTTCTCACGAGTTTTCCTTGAGTCACTGCTTAAAATCACATGAAACCTCAAGTGCTGTTACACTAGTTCCCACTGCTACAAACGATAGGGACCACGCCAAGTGTTGACCATTGTTCCTTCATAAGTAAGATTCTCCTCAACTTTTGACTAATTATCATCAGTCAAGAATACATTTTTTTTGCTTAATGTTCGGTAACAGTGCATAGGAAATTCGGAACCATGGGATGTATTCCGTACACCCAATTATTCGTTACAGCGGTGTTTGGTATAGCAGCTATCACCGGAGCTGCAGAATATGTGTTACAAAATCGTAATCATTGCAACTGACTATTCTTTTCGTTGGAAAATTAAAAACATTCTCGACAGGTATATCTCACTGCATGTGTATTTAAAGCTTTGCTAAATCAATACTGGCAATATCATAAAAGTAACGAAGCCACTGTAGTGATTACATGTAAAATGTGCAGTTGTGTACATTAATAAAACTGCCTCTGTTCATGCCTTGTTCATTAAAAATCTGGCGTACAGTATGACCAACCACTCAAATAGTTGATTGAAAGGAAAGTCAAATATTCAAAAGTTCAATTACTTGATTTGACTTAGCCCTGCAGTCATGGACGTTAACTTACACACTGTGGCTAGAGTTACATATGTTCAGCACTTTTGTACGGTTGCTGTCTATTTCTACTGCACCGATCTGGAGCAGTGCAATGAGAAACCAGACGGATCTGTAACAAATGGATCTCAATTTTTGTTTCCCCTCATTAAAAAAAGTGTTTTAGTATATATTTTGAAAACCAGTTTTCAAATATTTTAAATATAACCTTTGATGCAGAGATGCCACAGGGTCTGCCTGGGAAAAAACACCTGAACTTTATAGGATGCAGCAAAGCACTTGACTGAGCAAAGCAAATGAAGCACAAAATGACCGGGTTTCTAGCTCCTTGCTATTCCATAGAGGGATCCCAACACGACACTTTTAGCGTCGATCTGCGCACTTCTGCATTTGAAAACGAGGCTGTATGTGTCAGCTTCAATTCTTAATACGATCAGATGATTGAAAGTAAGGAGTCAAGAAACAAAATACATAAAGGTATGTTAAATTCAGCCCGTTCGCAAAGACCTCTTTGTGCAAATTTTTAAAGCCTTGTTCACTGAAATTCATTTGCAAGATGGTTGCAAAAATCAACAGCCCCGGTGGAGCCTGGAGGTAGAAGGTTCGAAGGTACATAAAATAGTGTGACAGAAAGCCACCTTTTCATCCTTTTCTGAAGCCTTGTCCTTTATTAAGCAGTCACTTCCTTGTTTTATTGTTTTTTTTCCCTTATTTTAACTGAAGTTGTAATGCTACATGTAAACAAAAGATTTTTGAATAAAAACATGCACAAGTAGGGTTGTGGCCAGTTTCTGCTGTACCTTTGCTATCACTGCAATCAGGAACTAGACTGAGATGGTAGTCTTGCATTCAGGCTGTGTGATAGATTTGAGTTTTAGACAGTTCGCTGCATTCAGTGGGTATGCATGCCCATGGTGTTCCTGGAACTCTGGTCAAGTTTCAATGAATGGGTATGCAGACGCTGCACGTGCCTCATGCAAGTTTGGAATGAAATATACACAACCTCTACTGTAGGGACAGCTTTAAAATAGACAGTTTGGGCATACCAAATAAGTGCGCATGTACACGTATCAAGTACAAGTATTCATATCTTTCACTATGACATCATTACTGTAGGCTGTCTTCTTATACATGTACCTAGTATGTAAACACCCCATGGATGACTACGAACGGTACATGTACATTTATGGAAGCAACTTGGTACAGAATTGGTACGTACATGTAAATGTACTGGTAGTCCCGGTATACATATACTATGAGGTTTCAGTTTTGCACATCACATTAGTGGAATGGAAGTCACAGATTTGTGTTCACCATCGGTGTACCACAAAACCTGCCGCCGAGAAGTTTCATTATTTACATTTTTTTTCATTATTTCTACACAAAAGGCACTTCATGACTCAACAAGTGTCACAAATCATTTGCCTAGCCAAATCATACACCCAGTCCTTTAAAAAAAGCATACATGTATGAATGAGGTGCTACTGTACAAACCTTTTGACCCTGTTGAATGATGTGATTGGCCTGTCAGTTTGTATGGACTTGGAGCAGACCAATGGGGAAAAGCAGCTTTTCCTCACATACATGTATGTTCGATATCTGTTATTTTTTTCTTTTAGAGTTTTGACTAATGTTATGTGATTAAATAACTCCATGGACAGGATGTACAGTAGGCTTGACCTGAAGAAAAACTGTTTTGACATTTCACTTCTTGACCTTGAACTTTTACAGACAGAACTTGTGAAACCATGGAGGAACATGGTGAAAAAATAATGCAAGTATCATCTATAAAAAAAATTCAATAGGGCCTACCGCGATGTAGGCCTATGAAAAATTAAAAACAGCCTAGGCCTAATTAGTTTTTAAAATGTTTCAGATACAAATCTATGACTTTAATGCCTAAAACATATACCTGTAGATAGGCAATGCTTGATGTATAGTGTTATAACTACAGAATTTGGAAGTCATGTTACATGTACACTTACAAATTACAGCATCTTTAATCATAGCCACTGGCATTATGTAACATTGACATCATGGAAAGAGTGCCAATGGACACCCTGTACACCAACCCTATGAAAAATTCTGTTTTCCAAGTAGGCCTAACGACCTTGGTTTTTCCCTCCGACGCGTAAAATTGAACTTTTCTCAATGTGTTTTTGCTTTCTGACAGCTAGTAATACTGTAGGGAATACTAGCGTTTCTATGTAGAACTCTTCCCATTTTTATTATAGGCTTAAATAATTCCAAAATGATAAGGTAGTGAGGCTACGTGGTGTTTTAATGAAACAGAGTAGGCCTAAGAAGTAGGATCAGATAAGGACTGGAAACACAATCTGACATGACCAACCTCCATATGACCTCACATGAGATGCACAACAAAACAAGTTGGTGTGATGTTTCCCCCGGATGCTTAGCTAACTTTTGGATACAGATGCATCTGTTAATTTCAAAATGAATCACACATAGGGCCTATGAATACGAGGGTTCGTTAATTGTTGAAAGTGCGCCGCGCCACGCCACGCACGCGTCACGTTAGGGAACCCGCGTACCGTTAATTACATTCCTATTTTGTGCCTAATTTCCGGACATCACAACACAACAGTGTACGGCGACGGCGTAGCTGCTCAGGTAAAGAATGAACATAAGCCTGCCTGATAATTGCCTTGACCAAGTTTGCTTTATAAATGATCCATACTTTGTCTACGTACCTGTCTTGCAGGGATATTTCAAATTTGTTGCCTAAAATTTCCTCCAACCATACTCCATGCTCCAAATTCGCCACGGTCAAAAATTCCGCCACATGCACAGCGCGCATGCGAAGTACCGTGGAAACATACCCCAATCGAGTATACTTTCCCTTTCGCGAACCGGACGGAGGTGATCCCAAATAAAAAGGTTTTTGGCGAATGCTATAGCGCCCTCTTGATATTCAAACCTCGGATTATTTACCTACTCTCATTTTGTAGCAAGTTTTTAAGATGCTCGAGGCAACTTTTTCGAGCCTTTACAGAATGTGCTGGAAGAATCATTCTACCTCCATGGAAGAATTAACAATCAAAACTTACAGACTTCGAGCACATTCTGTTAAGACGATTTTCCAATCATCTTGAAAGTTATCCGTGTAAACAAACTTTTTAAAACAGAGAAGGCTAAAATACAATCCTTTGTAAATCAAATAGAGATTGTCAGTATGTTTGACTTAGTAACATAGGCCCTATTTCAAATTTATTGTCTAAAAGTTTTATCAACATAATTGAAGCTTCCACTCTAGGCAGTTGCGTTAATTTAAAAAGATGAGACACAGGGTGGTGATGCACGAAGGAGGTTTCCATGTTAAACAAAAGCAAACAAATGGATGGTCAAAGTTCGCAGAAAATTCACTCTTAGCTGCGTGTAATAATTTTCCTCTCAAAATGCATATGTTGCAAGATCAGTATTAGATTGGGAGGCATCAGTTATTTAGCATTTAGTGCAAGTATTTTAATATTTAGTGTTTTGCAAAAACGGCTATTGTGACGTAGCAAATTCAAAATCTTGGCCGCGATACAACTCAAAATTGAACACATTTCCCATTCGCGAACCAAACTTTGGTTGAATGTCCGATGTGGGGAAAATGGGAGACTGACGATACGCCCTCTATAATCAAATTTGTAAATTTTTCTTCGGGCAATCTTGTGAATTTTAGCCACGTCTGTCAAATCAAGGTGTCCCGTTTATTTTATTTTATTTCATTTATTCATTTAATTTTTTGTCTCTCTCTGTCCCTCTCTCTCTTGTTTCTACCTTGATAGTCGGTCGGCCGACTAAAATGTATAAAAATGGGGTAAAAATGCGTAGACAGCGTAAGATACATTTGCTAAATAAAATGATAAATTTACAATTACAGGAAAAAAGGGGGAAAGTGATCTTTAGCAAATTTTGGTCTTAGTTGAACAATGTGATCAAAATATAACAACATTCCTGACCAGCAGCTATTCTTAAGTCTCTGACCAACATCTACTTTTAAACATCAGCTAATCTTTTACTGCTCTTTCTTTGGCAAACAGCCAGTGGCGTAAAGTTAAGATGGGAACCATGGGGGGTTGTTGGGGACACCCACCACCAGGAGGCGATAATCATGATTCACATGCACTATTGCAATGTGCAGCACACTCTGATCCTACTGAACGTTGCCTTTAAACACTGTAGTCATGTTTCTGTTCTTTTAGTTTAATTCTCCGTTTTTGAATACAAGTGGGGAAATATATACCCCCATCCCCCAGGATTATAAACGCACATGCCAACAGACGCAGTTTGACCAACATCTACTCTCTCATCGACGGCTGCTATTTCTTGTGTGTTTTCATGAAGTGAGAAAAACCAGGATAATAAAAAAAAATTATCACTGTCTTTCCTGCCATTTAAGTACATTTGATGCATAGTACAACTTGGTAGAGTTTCAAATCAAAAAGTTTTTTGTTTTCATATTGGTCGTCAACAAACATTTGGCAAAAAGCTCAGTCTCTGTGTTTCTCTGTTTCCACGAAGTGACAAAAAGTACGTATAATTTAAAAGAGAAAATAAGACCTCAAGGATTTGCTGTTTTCACGAAGTTGAAACAGCTGTACAGTTTAAATGAAATAATATTTCTGCAACCGAGTGTGGATCAGCAATGACTGCCAGTGTGCATAATATCTCCGAAATCCGTAAAAACAAAGTACATGTAGTCGAAAATGTGTCAGAATGGGGAGTCTTTTCAAATGCGTTTATCTTGGAATGTCTGTTTTGCATTACATGGGTTTTTGTCACTTTGCCAAAACACCGACGATTTGACCAAAAGCTGCTGTCTTATATGCTACGCTTTGACCACTTGGCACTTCCAATGACCACCAACTACTCTCAGTAACCACAGACCATCTGCTGTTATACTCTTTGACCACCACGAGCTACCATTCCATCCTATTATGGAATTTCCGAACATTTTTTTCATAGAACAATTTGCCCGAAAACGTCCTTTCCTTCAAAATATTGAACAGAAAATTTCCCATAAATCCATATGAAAAAGACCAGAAGGTTATTGCGTGAGTGAATGAGGTGACAGCAAATGCCACCATGGAGCCTTTCTTGCTATTTGCACGGACAAATTCCAAGTCTCCATGAAATGATCTGTATTCTACGCAGTGAACGTTATTAATGCAGTTACGTAATAGTTGAACCATAATGAAGTATCACGGGCGCCTTGAGCTACGTCTATCCATCGTATTGTCAGAGATATTGCAGTGGCCTTGGGCCGGCTATTCACCATGATGTCAGTGACCTCAAAAATGCAAATTGCAAGCTCCTCGATAAAGAAATGATTACGTAACTAGTGGAATGGCTTGAAATGGACTAGTCTGTACAGGGGAGATGCGTGTAATGAAAGAGGGGAACGTGGAACCAACAAAATAATACCAAGCTTTTATTCCTAATTCAAGCATTGGGGTCCAATTAGGGTTTAGACGGACTGACGTTTTTGTTCCCTAATGATTCATGTTTTGAAGAAAAGTTTGTGGTCTGTAACAACGAAGGAACAATTTTTTGAAAGTTCTTTACACCAGCCGTGACCTCACATGTCCTCCTACAGAAATTCCCCCCTTTGCCTGACCAGGGTGCACTGGACCGGTACTGATTGGCGCACTGTGAAGCTGCTTCCTGCCTGCGCCGAATGGGGGAATAACAACCCAGGATGCAACTCGGTATGGTGGGGGCTTGAGAATTGCCTCTATTGTGACATCGAGGGCTAAGACTAGGACAGACCCTTAGCACCGGTACGACCCTCACCTTGCACGCGCGAACAGGGGCGACTTCTGACGATCCCAAACCAATCTGATTTCCTGAAGACAATTTCCAAAGTCGCACAGCATGGAACGGCCAATGACTAAGTACAAGTTTGGTAAGCTGGTTTTCTCCCTTCATGCGATTTTTTAGCATCTTTTGATGAGTATTTGCCATCCGACGATTTGTCTTCCAAGGTCTTTGTCGGTATGCTTTCCCATTCCTACCTCCAGCCATGCATGGTTCTCGTGGCTAAAGCAAGGACACGGGGGAAGTGAGCTTTTTACTCGTACAAATGTCGTAGTCTTAATTTAAATTATTGAGAGAACAGGCCATGCATCACACAAACTTTCTTGATGTTTAGTTTGATAAGTATAAGACTAACATTACATATTTTATCCACTTGAACAGTGTATACTGTAACATTGAAACAAACCGGTAGACTTTCTAATACATTCCAAATGGAAATACACATAACTAAATTGGCATGCCATGGCTGTTTGTCGCCGAGTACGGTTCTTCCTCTCAAAGCGAAGTGTTATCTTAAACATGTGACAACCAAATCGACAACTGGTGGATCAAAAAGGTGAAAAGTAAGATTTTACTTCGACAACCCCGAGGAAATTTGAAAGCAGCCCATGTATTTCACTTTAATGTTATGCTTAAAATAAATACTAAAAAAATTGAAGGTGGATTAATTTCCTAGAATTATCAGTTTCTTTTCTTTTTTGTCCAAATGTTCTGTGCACTTAGTCTTATAGAGCACATTATGGATAACTTTACTTAACCAAACCCGTGCATGGTCATCCCGTGAAACTACTAAATTGCAGAGCTCATTCTAGTGTAGAATTTCATAAACACACTAAAGGACTTCTTTTTCGAGACATTACGCTTGAAATTGTTGTGAAGGTGAGTTTAGACGTCAAAAAATGATGTGTACATTGTACACATGTCCAATCGGTCATGTAGTACACGTCATAACTGAAAACCTGAGTCGCTCTTGAGAATATTGCGCCATCTTTATTCTAGAAAGTTTTAATTGATAAATAAAATGAGCACTTTTTTATTTTTCCTGTTCCTTGTCTTACGATTGGTTATCACAATCACATCTTTCCGGATGCGTGCGTATTTTGTAAAAAAAACAAATGCATTGGAAACGTCGATGTTCGTGGGGAAAACAAGTGACTTCACAGTAACCTTGGTTAACTCGAAGGCAAGGAAAAGGCCTGCAAGGCGTGAGATGTAGTTAATGCCAGAGTTAACAAACATCATCAAGTGGTATCAAATAAACTGATGGTGATCCAACGGTTACAACTGAATGTGGCCTGACCGGCAATAAATCTCATTATATAAAATACATGCCTGAACAATGCAGCTAATTCTGTCAGTTGTAAAACGTAATACTTAATATATTGTAAACTACTACTAACAAAATTACTAACACGTAACTTGGAACTTTTTCACTGTTATAGTTTACTTCTGTACTTACGAAAACTGATTGTTTTCTGCTAAACAATACACAGGACTGTGAAACACTTCAGGGCGACTGGGTCTAAAATTTTCAAGATGATGATACTTGTTAAGTGGTTGAGTTTGTTATTTTTTTATTAACCAACAACCCAAAAAATATGGAATACTGGAGGTTCAAGTGAAATCGGACAGGAATTCAAATACATATTCTTATGAAAATATAAATATGAAAATACGATAACGTATTGTGTTTATGAGCCCGTTTCTTCACACTGTATTTTTTACAACTTAATCCAGGTCCCCAAAGGAGAGCAGTTCTTTGATGACTGTTGGGACTACCCAAAATAAAACGAAATCGACACATAAGAGGACCACAAAATTTTAAAATATCGACTTCGGCTGAGGCTCCGACTTCATTAACGGCTTTGTTCTTTGGCAATAAACGAAAAGACTCCGGAACGTTCCACGGGCGGCGATATCGTAGCAGAATTAGTTTCTCAAAAGGCGCGAGAGGGGGAGCATTGTGCCTAAAATGTTTTGTCTCTCAGTCACTCGACGTAAAACTAAAAGGGGGCAATCAAGTGGGAGTAGTTTTCAGTGTTGGGGGAGGTAAACAGTAAAAAACGCAATGGAAAAAAGTTCCATGGACACCACCCGGAAAAACGCCAGATTTGCATGCGTTACATCTTTGAAATAGGAATCAAGAAATAAGCTCTCCGAGGCCGTAGTATTTTGAAAGATATTAATCTTATCTTGGGATATCTTGCACAATGTGCGTGGTAGTATTCGATGAACAATTCCCGTAGTATTCGATGAATCATTGACTTGACAGAGCAATGGAAACGGACCGCATTTCCAATCCGCCTCCACAAAGGAGAGGGCTAACCTTGGCAGTCTGCGCCTGATCAACCTGGCGGGAGCCAAGTTGGCGCTTGCCCTCGTAATAGGCGGACATCGACAATATACACTTGATCTGGAGCTACGGGCGGGTGCGGTTGGCCGTGATTTTTCTGCCAGAAACGCGAGTAGTTGTTGCACTGTTTTTGTTTTTTTTTTGTCAGTTTTGCAAGTTCCATCTTTCCTTATTCCGAATAAAAGGTGATGTAACAGCCAATTCGATATCCGCTGTGCCATGTGAATGGTTGTTTGGTTTGAAGGCTGCTTTAGTAACACTGCTATTCTAGTCTCCCTTGCTTTTTCGAAGATCTAGAAATTAAAAAAAATGTAAATATACTGTATGGGTGTGTGTGGGGGGGGAAGATCCAAAGTTAATTAATGTTTCTTTTACTGAGCCCAACACTTCAACCAATGTTGCTCAGTATCTGGGTGCTTGAAGAGTTATGTTGAAAAGATCTAACGAGCAACTCTCATTTGATTAATCGGGCTGAAGTCATTCGAAAAGACGTGTCTTTCAAGGAGTGTATGAAGGACCGAACTTTTCATCAGTTCTCAGTTCTACCCGTGGTCTTTTTCCACTTTTCCAGGCTGCACCCACACAGAAGCGTAGTGGGCGTTATTACATGTATATGTATTAAAAAGAAGAATATTACTGGGAGCGTTGGTGGTTTTTGAAGGACTTTGCCTGCGACCCGCATAACAACCTTCCAAGGTCGAGTCAGGACACATTTCTCGGAAGTAACTCTAATATTTGAAGTGGTTACGTAACTCACACACCCATACACCCGCGCATTATAAGACAGCATGCCCAATAATTATGGCAATGGTGTCATTGAAAACAAAATTATATTACACTGACACTCGCACCATGATCAGGCTATGAGAGTTTGCCATCCATTTTGTTTAGCCTTTGGCGGTAAATCGGACTGCGTGTACCTGCAACTATAAGCTAAAAGTTTAACGCAACTTCAATTTTCAAATTTTCTGGCTTGATTTTTGACTCGTCTCTACTTCTGAAAAATATATACGTAGCGTTTAGGCCATAGCAGCCGATCAAGACCTGACCAACGTACTCCGCATTTAGCTTATTGCTACCCTTTGATGATTTCTGGTTAGAAAATTCACTAGCAGTGATGGTGGGCATGTTGGCATTCTGAGAAGACTTTCGGTTAAAAGACAACTTTTTTCCGATTTTTCACGTACAATCAAAATAAAACAAAAAACACAACCCCAAAACACAAGAAACTGTGACTTTCGAGTAACCTTCGAGTTCCAACAACAGCCATCTGTGACTAGCTGCCCGCCGTTCTCAAAAAATCCAATCCAAACCGCCGCTGACCTAATAGGGTGTCAAGAAAACTTGTTCACACGATAATGCTTTATCAACAAAGACAGTGGATACAGCCGATGTCGGGACCGCGTTGTTCACCTCAATAAAGAAATTACTCGGCATGATGCGAAAGTGACAGACTTTTCTCATGCGTGGGGGATCCACCCTTCCCCGAGCCCCCATCTCAAAAAAGGAGCATTTGACGGATTGACTTTTAAAAGATAATTGCTCTGTTTTTGTCGAGGACATCGAAAACTTTTGTTTCAGGCTGCACTCAACTGTTTTTGCGTGATTCTCCTTTCCTACAGAGAGATGAACTTTCAAATACAACTAAGGTGTTTCATTTCAGAAATGTCAAAAATTCCTAGAAACTGTGCAAAAATTATAGTCCATAAATTATAGTCCATAAATGATAGTTATAAATTCTTTCAAAGTCCAGTTTTCATTTCATTTTTCTCTGTTGTCCGAGAGCGACAAAGGTAAATGTACATGTACTGTACATAAATGTATATGTACAGCACGTGTAGTTGTTGACTAACACCTGCATATAATGAGTGGGTGTTGGTGGAAGGCTGTTTGCCAGGGCAACGACTTGGCAAGGCCTATACAGTCAGGGCCATTTTCCTCGAAATTGGTTAATATTTTGCCGGTTACATAATGCGTGCATCTGGTTACGATTGTATGTACATGGATTCCAGGTACAGACCGAGGGTAGTTCCAACAATGACAAAATCAAATGAAAATTCATGGCTGGAAAATGGTTTGTATACGTCATTTTGAAAATTTAGTGTCATGCAGGGCATGTATTATGTGTAAGATTGTTCTAGAGACTAGTTGGACGCACTTCCGTACTTAATAACCACAGTTTTATTCCTCATAAAATGGTTCTATACACTAATTACATTTTTTGGAGGACTAGCCAGTATTGTCCTGAACAATGAATCCCAAATGTAGGCTCAATTCTTTTTCAATCGTTGCAGGGTTGTTGCCAGTTTCTTTCATGTTTTGTGTTACAGTATGCGGGAAACGTATTAAAAATCGGCTATAGTCATTTAGCTCGTGCTTTCTCGCAATTTCCTTGGTATTTGTTTCATATTTTTGTACAATGAGGCATTCTTTCCGAACTATTGTTAACAAGTCTCAAATAACGAAAGCAAGTGCTTGTTTGGTGACAAAGGCCACAGCTGAAAAAACCAACATTTTTCAAAATCGAAACCATCGACAGTACATTGAAATACGTTTTGAATAATACCAGCCAAGTGGTAACATTTGCTCTTACTATTTTCTTGTACAAATATATTTCGTGGTTCCTCGGCATTTCTTCGAATGTAATCCCGCAGCCTTGGCCGAGTGCATTGGGCGCCATGGAAGCCTGGGCCCCCCGTTGACCTTATGGGGTTACCAGCCTCTACAGACCATGCAATGTCTGCGTGCAAAGCTTGACACACCTGATTAGAATGCATTGTAAACAGAGACAACAGAATGACGGAACAAAAGGCATGTTGCAGAGTAGTACCCAGCCCCCCCATCCCTCAATACACGAACCTGCTTTGGTTCGTAACAAAGGGTTTAAGATTCTGAACCCATGCAAACAAAATGTGGTCTACTGTTGCCGAGCTTTACCGCTTTAAGCTCTGTTACGTAACGCGAACAGCAGGAATCGATCTGCCGAGTACAGGGAATGCTGCACTAAATAGTAATGTTTCTCCACCATTACGATGTGCGTTTTACCTTTAATCATAAATTAGCCCCATCAGTGTGATGCCACTTGATTGTTCGTTTGTAATGTAGCGTGCACGTGTCATTTCATTTGGACGGCCATTGTGATTTGAGTTATCTGTATTTAGCAAGAAACACTTCGGACCTTTCAAGAAGGGCTTTGAAATGAATTACCGCAAACAAGTTTTTATTTGGTCGTAGGTGGATGTCCCTGACCCGCCTAATGCTATGAGGACAAGCAGCTGAATCATTCTTGGCTTCCATGTGCCGTGCTAGTAGGGAACATTTTCTACATTTCACTTGGATCATATCATGCATGCTAACATGGACCACCTCCATACATGAACCCACGTAAACTACATGTATTTCCATAACTGTGGCGCGACTTCACAGCTGTAGATTTACCTTTTTAGTGTGTTAGATGTTTACTCGCATTTGTGCTACACAGTATAGTTTATATTTTTATGGTTGTCATGCAGCAACGTAACAAAAATATCAATTATTATCAATTCTCAATTATTACAACCTGCCCGTGTGCTCGAAAACATGCAGTTTGGAGGAGTTCGTTAGTTGCCGTACACTTTTATGAATATTTAAATATGTTGCTCAAAGTTTGAACATGGCCGCTGTTTTACTAGGGCAAAATTATTAAACATTTTAAGGGGCGACCGTATTAAGCAATTTGGGCAGCTTAAAGAAAACGGTTTAAAACAACTTTGAGTTAGGAAAAGTTACTTGTTTGAAATACCTCGGGCTGTTTAACTGTCGTTGATAAATGCACAGATTTGTCAGTGAAACAATTTTATATATATATAAAGTTTTGAACTACGTCTTTTAAATATATATATATATACACACACACAAAGTTACAAGCCTCTTATTGAGATAGAAAAGCGACAAAAATCTGAGACAACAGTGAGAAACGTCCAATTCGGGTCCAAATGCAAATTGAGGGCGCATGAGAAATATTAAAACAATTTGCTGCTCTCCAAACGTAATTTATTCACTTCCATTAAGTTTTAAACAGCAGCTGTTTAAACATTCAAGATTTTATTTTCCGCAACGATGATTTTGAAGCAAGCTCATTTTAAACTCATTTCACGTGTCTAAATTTTTGTTGAATATTTTATTCGATGTCGAAAAATCCACGGTACTACGATGTTGCTATCAATGGAAACATTACTGCATGTTATTATTATGTCGACACCAGATTGGAGTGCTGTTAAACAGTGTAACTTATTACATGCTCATTTACACTTGGTTTTAATTGTGTGCAGTTAATCGAATAAATCGGATCCAAACGATACCAAACTGGACTTAAACTTTCAATGTAGCTTTTGCATTCTGTTCTTTTGCAGAAGTTTAATGTGGAAAATTAGTGATTCCTTACTATTGTTGAGGTATATATGTTCACAATTTTCCAAAATGGGTGCAATCGTCGCCACGGGCCCATCCAGTTCCCCTCATGTGACTAGCTTGCCGGTTGGTGCAGGACGTTACGTAATTGGCTTGGGACATTTTAGCAGGCTCATTCCATTAGGTTCAATTTGGTTGGGCCAGGGTTGGACGCGCTGTAGGCGACTTCGATGCACTGGATTTGTCACCTGCTCAAGGACACTAGCCACACTACTATAGTCTCGGTTCAAGGCATTTCCCGAAGATGTTCTCTGTTTTTGATTTTTTTTTTTGGGGGGGGGCTTGACAACAAATGAATGCATTGGTCTTGACAGACAACTCAAGAGAATGAAATTTAAAATTGGCTGAAGACTAAGTGCATTTCTGCTCAACATGTAACTCTACTATACTGTCGACATTTGTTCACTCCGTGGATATTTTTACCCAGAGAAACAGTGGGTGAGGCTAAAGCTACATGTAGGACACTACTTTGACAGTCATTAGGCCTATATACGTTTTGGCTATTTCATGACTGTTGTCCTCCTTTTCGAGATGATCCCCTTTAAATTAAGTTGTACTAGGAAACTGACATATGTGGGTCATTATCTAATTTTCTGTCATTCAGTTTTCCGTAAAAGGCACTTTTTATATGTTTTTCGTTTGAAACACTTGCAGATCAGAATTTTGAGAAAATAACTGCGAATGTGCCTAGCGTTAAAGAGACGGACAGAAAACGAAAAGAGATTGGTTTGAGGGCATTTGGAAACTGGAATCACTCACATCAGAACGAATAATGCGTGAACTTTGTGAAGAGTGAAGATAATCAACAAAGTTAACAACCGTCCTTCACCCATCATGCACTGTCCAACGGATATACGGTGTATAGAACCATATCACTGAGGCAGATAACCTCTTTACGCACCATTACCAGCACATTACTGCCACTGCTACATGTAGTGCTTTTGTAAGCTGCAGATCTGTTCCGGTAGGACCGGTACATACACCGCGCTGCTCTTATAATGTGTCTAAATTCACAGTGGTTGTGCAAGTAGTAACCATAATATCATTGCGACATGCATTGAGATTACACCCAACGCAAAATACACTATTAACCATTCAACACGACCACATGAAAATGAAGGTTAATGAGTGCCCTCAAGTACCCTGCAGAATGCAGGTAAAAATAGGCCCCTATCATGTTTTACTGCGTAAGAACGACTGGGGCAAGTGGCCGTTAGGTTACCGCCAGTGTACATCAATGGGTACGCTCAAAATTGTTTCCACGATGGTTGCACCATGAGAGTTTTAACATCCTCCATCGTGGCTACTGTAAAATTATAAATAAAGTTTAGCAAATCTGCGTTTTGTTTCTCACTATCAAAGGCCGGGGGAGGGGGATGATAAAACTTTTCATCCCCTGGTCAAAAAGTGCCTGTGTGTAGGTGTGCGGGATGTCCTCTCCATATCTCCCAGGATTTATGCACCTTTTGTCGCTTCAGCCTCTACGAACATGTAATGTCTAAATTACACCCCTTGTATGTAACGTTTTAGTGCAGTGACATGTTTTCGCCGGATTCACGCGTTAACTTCGTGCACGGTTTCGTGGGCTCCACACCTTGATTCTCCATTATTTGTTCATTTTATCATTTGCACAAATACTACCGACAGTTCATGAGATCGTGTTATCTGGCTCAGACGGTTAATTGTTGGAGTTGACTGACCGTAGGGTTGGACATAGTTCAATGAGTGACGTGACGGATGAGCGCGTGGAAGAAAGAAAAAACGAACGACACCGACAGGTGGTGTTCGAATCCAGCCTGGGCAAGTGCGAGGAGCTGTTTAAGGGTGCCTTTGCATATGCGCGTCAACACTGGCGCCAAGTGTTGCGCGTATCTGTCAAAATGGCCCCCGAAGCGATTTTGACTGACAAACGCAACGCACACGTGTTATGTTAATTAATGTAGAGTTTTTGTGTCCGTGAAAATGAAATACACGAACGCATCGTGTACGCAACGCACTCAAAAACGTACATATAGATAGGCGTTGGAACGCACGGAGTAACCCAACCCTTAAACCCAAAGCGAACAAACTTCCTAGATACCGCCAGATGCGACAGTGGAATTCTGTCACACTTGTTCATCCATAAATAGACAGAACTAGGACTTTTAAAGATGTAGTGTTAGCTCTCTTTTTTATTAAAACGCCAAATACACAAGTAACTCGGATTGAAATTTGTTCATTTGTTCACAGAAATTATTTCTTATTTCGGGGTGACTTCAAAAACAAAACATATTGCATGAAATATTAACGTCAGTCTCGTGAAAGTCGCTTTGACTGACTAATTGTTGACCCGACGATGCACGAAAAAAAAGGATTGTTTCTATGAAATGTACTGGCTACCGTCACAGGTCGTGTATCCTTACATACTCTAGGTCTCACATATTTTTTAAGCATTCCAGTTCGATTCTAGCATTAGGCTGTCTCCGACGCACGGCGGGATGGATATCCTACCGTTGCATATCAGATTATTCATAAGACTGTATCCATTCTTTCTCCACTTTCTTAGCTTAACCAAAATCAAAGAATGGTTATCCATACAAGCTTTACTTTATTCAAGACTAGTTTGTTTAATACACAGTTACCGGTATATCTCTTGTTTTTTCGGTGGAAAAAGGTAGTTGCATTGAGCGAACTTAACCTTTACTCTCGATGTTTACGTAATAATCTTGTTGGATTGGGCATGGTTGATTAATGCTATAATCTTACTCTCTTCCTGCATAGGCACTCCCTACATCCCAAGCTACATGGACCTGAGTAATGGGCCCGAGCCTTGTGTGGTGTGCGGGGACGCGGCGACTGGCTATCACTACCGGTGCATGACGTGCGAAGGCTGCAAGGTATGGGAACGAGGGTAGACGTTCCAGTCTGTCCGTGGCGATAGCTTATATACACTTTTATATCGACACTCAAACAGAAGAAACTGTTAATATTAAAGAACAAAAAACACATTGACAAAACCTATTTTAACCGGTGCTTTTCTTAATGTGTTAAGTACATGTACAATGTTGAAAAGACATGCCGATCTCAGGAGCACCACTTCCTTGAGGAATCAGCAAGGTGTTTAACATTCCAACGCGTTTTTGTGATTGCCTGTAGTTTAGAACTCAAATGTTAACAGAACCTTAAAAAATAAAGGTACCTATGTGTAATTATTTATAACAGTTAGTTTTGGGCGCTCTCGCATGGAGGATTTCCCACGATTGCCATCGAATCTTGTTTTCATTTAAACAAATCGAACACTTTAATCATTTCGTTGTAAATAGGGTTTCTTCCGAAGGACAGTGCAAAAGAATCTGAGCTATTACTGCAAATGGAACGAAGAGTGTGTAATCGACAAGACCACCAGGAACCAATGTCAGCAGTGCCGGTATAAGAAATGCATCAACGTTGGCATGGCACCCGATCGTGAGTTCATCTGCACTTCTTATGTACATGTAGTGGCTCCTTTGGATTATAGTCACTTTTAAACAAGCCATGACAAGCTTTTGACTGATTCGTTTGTCTTTCAAGCCACCCAGTAGCGCTATACACTTAACAAGTCCCGTCAAGCACAGTCGAATCAGTTAATTTCCTAGATACTCAGTCCTGGAAATCTAATCCTTCTTTACAAAGCATGAAGTGCGTCATATTAGAAATATAGGAAGTTATAAGAGGTAATCGGTGGATTACTGACGGGATTCGCTTCCATGACTGACAAGAGTACTCGTATGAATGCAGTTTTAGTTCCTCCTCCATTCTCGGTGCCTTCTTCCTGTTCGTGGATTTCTTAACTTGTCTGTTTTCTGTCGTCCTTCACAGTGGTTCTAAATGAGAACCAGAGGAGAGCCAAGAGGCGACTGATCCAAGAGAATAGGGAGAAGCGAACACGGGAAGAGATGCTGCGACAGAGTGGATTGCTGCTGGCCAGCCGGCTAACTGAGGCCGAAGAGAATCTCATCAAAGCCATACTGGTGGCGCACCAGGACACCACCTACCTGTTCAGGAGAAACTCCACCTCCTCGGAAGAGGTACCAGATAAACCTTAGATCAAATGCTTGGTTCAAATTGGTTTACTAAAAACATGACTTGCAGCCAGCAGCTGAAACGAACAGGGTTACAAATATAGATAATTAGAAACGGTTTTGCCATTACAAAGAAGCTTAAAATAATTAAATAGCAACGTTACCCACAAGTATTCAATAACTATTTGAACAAAGGGGCGGGGAAATCATACAGTAAACAAAGTTACATGACTAACTAGACAAGAAGTTTGCTTTTTTGTAACCTTTTTCTCAACAAAGGTATGCCTCTTACTCAACCCTAGGCTTTGCATTTCTTTTCTCAATGTAGGACGGCCAGCCTGACACCAAGAGGGCCAAGGCAGAGGATGACAAGAGTGCTTTACTTAACCTGGCCGAGATCATGACCCCCTCCATTGTCAAGGTGGTAGAATTCGCCAAGAGGGTACCAGGATTCAAAGAGGTAAGGACACACGTCTGATGCCTCAAGACATCCTCTCCCCCTTTTGGGGAGGGGAGGGGTGTTTTGTTTTTCCAGATCTAGAAATGATCTAGGATTAAATCTTGCCTTCTGCGAGGCGTGCCTTGAATATTTACGGCCATTGTACCTGGTTGATGTGCTTTCAATGGAAACAGATGAGACCATTCAAGATGATGATACAGGAGGTCTCAGTTTTAAAATAGTAAAATGTCCAGGTTAATTTGATACCTTTTGTGTGGGAAAACTAGGATCCTCAGAATGCCACATTCATAGTTCAGCAGTTCCTGCTTGAGTCTGCTTTTCTGCTTTCACACAGAACAAACTTTGTCAGCACAACGCATAAATATAACACCAGGCCCCTTATCTGAGTTACAAATATTTGATTTACAAATTAACTCGTAATCAAAATAAAAGGTCTAGCATTTTAAAGCTTTCTCTTAAAACCTCTCCAGCTGGACCACGAAGACCAGGTCTTGCTCTTGAAGTCATGCTGCATGGAGATCATGTGCTTGAGGATCGCTCAGAAGTATGATCCCGACACCCAGCTGCTGATTCTGTCCAACGGCATGCCTCTGGACAAGTCTGAGTTACAACATGGCACGTTGGCCGACCTTGTAGAGCCCATCTTCGACTTCGCCGTGGGTCTGGCCAGGCTGCAACTGACAGAAACCGAAATGGCACTCTTGGCAGCTGTGCTACTTATAGCTGGTGGTAGGTTATCACAGAACAACTATCAGGATAGAACCTCATAAAACAAAGGGACAACGTTACAACTTCAATATAACTGCGTGTTGTAGCCGTGGTGTGATTGAATTCCACGCTGTTTCTTCCATAGACCGGCCTGGACTTAAAGATACTAAGTCGGTGGAAATGCTTCAGGACACACTGCTGACAGCCTTCCAGCACTTCATCAATGAGACACGACCAAAGACGCCAGTGCACTGGGCAAAAATTCTTATGAAGGTATGTGCCCAATCAGTTGACTTCAAAGCTTTAGATTGTTGCTGTGACCAGCTTCTCCCATTGCTAGGGGTTAATTCGGGTCCATGAGACTGAAAATCAACTATTGGAGATAAAAGTTCCAGGATAGGTCACATATAAAAGATTGATTATATAAACGTCAAGAGCTTTGTTGTATAAAAGTTAGGGTTGATGACAAAAGCAGCTCATTACCAGATCGCACAATTGCTCCCTCTCATTTCCATATGAAGGAGTTCGTGGTATCACATGATTGTTCTACAACATAATCAAATATACGACAGGCCTCAAAGGTCCAGTCGTCATGGGAACACGATCATAAAATTACACACAAACAGTGACAATAATCAACCCACAACGTGAAGAGTATAGCACTGGCTACTGTCATTATAAAGAGATAATTCAAAAGCTCCGAGTCTCTTCTTCTGTCTGTTTTACTTTATTTTTCAAGTTCTTTTTTAAGCGCTGGTCCCAGCAATCCTGCGACATGTATTACGCGAGTTTACCACTGTAAGCTGACAACTTTACAAATGTATAAAAGTCACTTGTAAACTTAGACCTGGCCCAGGCCTATAGTACTGCTACTGACTTAATTGTATAAGTAGTAAGTACGGTCATAAATTGTCAGTAATTACAACACCCCCACCTTCCTATGAAGTGGTACAACAGCAAGGTTTCCTTAGGTTATTAATTACTACACTTTTATAGTCCAATACAAAAGCTGGGGAAACCAAACAGATATTCACCGAGTGAAATCCTGAGTCGAGCTTGACTACGTCGTTAAGGAACGGCCTCCTCTGGGACCTGAGCGAGTTATGCTTTGATCCCCACATAAATATCATTATTTTGTTTCCCCGCTCACAGATCACCGACCTTCGGACTATTAGCGCTCGTCATGCCGAGAGACTACTGTGCGTCAAATTGGACAAAACCCAGGAGATACCTCAGATATTTCTGGAAATGTTTGACGACTGTAACACTACACTGTAAACAAATCCTCAGACAAATAAGCTGGTGTTGAGTATATGATCTTCATACCGAGTATTTATTTGTCCTGAACGCATAAAGCTCCCTCCTCCGTCTTACCTGAATTCTAGGTATCAGTATGGTAGGGGTAACGAACAAAAGTGGAAAAAGTGGGAAACAAACACTATTCTTCGAGCATGTCGGGAAGTCAGTAAAAATAAAGAACCTAGTTAGACATGACTGTCAACCGAATGTGGTGTACTTTAATTGGCAGGCACATCGTGGGTATTAAAGCGCTCTTCAGTCCACTGTGGCCGCAATTGGTCCAATAAGGCGAAAATCATTGCGGAAAATTCATAGGTACAAAGTGCCGAGGTGTTGGCCTGTCTACGTAGTTAACCCTATGCCATCCCTCAATTAAGTACTTTTTTCTCTGTGAGGTTGTGCTTTGCTCACGTATTCATGACTTAGGCCTACTTCGTCTCGACTGAATTCATCAACAGAGATCAAGACTTAGTTTAAACGTTCTTGAGAACAGGATGCAAATAGCAACCAATCCACAATTATGTGAACAAGGAAACCTGTTAACCAGCAGAAACAGGTTGATGATTACCTTTACGTCACGCATTCTGTGTTACTGGCTCCGAGGTGAATTCTTCCGCTTTAATGATCAAGCTTTCTCGAGGATTTTCCACTAATAGTAGCTTCATGCATTTGGTCCAACAACACGTATATGAAAATCAATACTCGAATACCGAAAAAAAATTCCCTTGAATTAATGTGTTTCGTGTCGTGTTCGTGGGCAATCTGATTTTGTATCCCGTGCATTTGTCCATCTTCTGGGTTGTGCCTTGAAGACAGAACACGCTGTTGGTAGGAAAACCACGAAGTGACTGTGAGCTCCCTCCATGCTTGAAAGTATACCTGAATCCTTATGCCAGTACCTAAGATACTCCTGTTCCCTGGAAAATATGAAAGGTGTGTGTAATACTGCACCCTTTAAATTTCTTGCCACGTGTAAAGGCCAAAGAGTTCCAAAGGATAGTTGATGTTTTTCTTGGGGTGAAACACTTTAAGTCAGTGCTTATATGTACATGTATAGTGGTTGGTTAACTGGCTGAGTCTTGTCAGCTGATGGACTTCAAATTCTGGATGCTTATGGGTGTAGTGGCAAGAGTAGAATGGAACATTTTACCGTATGAAAATACCCTTTCCATACCACGAATATGAAACATTCATTATTTGTATTATACAATGCCTGAGAAAAATTCTGGAAAGCACCTATATACTCCGACCTCTGGATCTCTTGTTGAATGGAACTCTCTATATTTGCCGTGGAATAGAAGTTCTATTTTGCGATGTGGCTGTGCCGTGCGTTGGGATGAACGAGTCAGTGGCACATGGTCAACGACACACCATCGCTCATAATGAAATTGGTTTTTATCCAGGCGTTGTATGCTGGTACTTAAAGAGTGTTTCGTTTGTAAGATTTTGAACTGTCGTCTTAGGACAAGTTCACTCTGTGAAGACGAGACGTATCATCGCCACACATCATCAGTCAAGATTTATTTAGATTTGAAATATGAGGTATAGTGTAGAAGTATGGCTTTATAATTACCGCGGCACCATTGTAAATTCTTATAAATTAAGTAACAACTGCAGCTGTTTCCTTTTTTTGTAATTATCACTGTTAACGTTATTCGTAATTCAGGTTATCGTTGCTTTTAAACTTTTATTGCAAAGAGTATGCTTGTGACATGTCAAAAGAAACTGCGCAGGTTCAGTCACATTTCATCATGAAGAACTCATGTACAGTATACTTGAATATGAAAAAATATATAAAGATTTATTAAGATAACATTAAAGTTACTGTATGTATATAGACTTTATCTCCAGGTAATATCAACCCACCATTTTGACTACCTCACTTTGAAATTTATGTACATTTAACTGTAACATCCCGAGACTTTGGGGAGAGATTATTCGTTGTTCAAAATGTCAATAACATTTTGTAGCATGTGGCACGAGAAGTTTATTATATGCACTAATAGAAGTCCAAACAAGGAAGACAATTGCAAACAGAAAAGACGATGTAATACGGGTACATGTGTAGCCTATTGAAATACATCGGTGAAGGTGTGGCATGTGCACTTGGGTGTTTTAAACAGATTTAGGGATTTCCAGACTGGGGCATGCGGGTTGTAGCAAGATGATATCAATAGCTAGTCATTGTTTGTACATAAACCTTAAAGCCGTAGTTCCAAAAGAAATCCATGAAAAATTTTCCAGTCCCTTTCATTTTGGAATGCTCACTAGGAAATGAACATTATGGAAACATCGACGTCCCAAGGCTCCGTTTCAATTCAGTTAAACAGTGCCCGGATAACTTTTCCGTTATTTATAAATGATCTATCCCCGAATTCGCCCAATGAAGTGAAAATGACCAAAATATGCCTGTATGCACACATCGATGCTCTTCGATTTGTTTTCAGGATGCTGCAACTGATAGAAATCAATCATGTATTCCTTTGACACACGTATAAATGTACTGAAAGACAAATAAGGGCATACTTATGAAAAAAAACCTCAGGGATTTTGTAGGATGGTAGAGTTAGTACATTAAAGTGAGCCGGCAGTGTATACAATAAGTCTCTGTATTAAAGTTGGTAGTAGACGTCGACAGATCAGATTAATGATTCGGTGCGTGTAAGTACGTATATGTTGATGTACAGTTCATGACTGAATGAAAGTGAAAAGGGTCTGTCATAACTTCGGTTTGATTATTGTATCTTCGTTGTTCCCAGTAAGTAAATAAACACGGCTAGTTTGAGAAGCAATCATTGCATTTGGAGGTACTACTTTGGAAATTTCTCATGTCATGATCTTGGTCAGAATAGGAGTAAGCCAACGATAGTTTGGAGGCTGTCTCAGTAATTTATGGCCCAACTTTAGTGTACATTAGTGCAACTTACACGTGTGTATACACGTATGTATATATTTCCAGTCGGCCAAACATCCTAATGCAAATGTTTCATGAAACTAATTTTCAAGTTATACAATGTAGTCTCTGAACATCTGGTTATATAGTTGTTGAGTACAGCACAAGTCTGTAAAAGATGTTCACAAAAACCACAAAAAGCTAACAAATTATGGCTACTTCCACCGGCAGCGATCTTACATCAGAACTCAGGAACGAATTCCCTCAAAAGAAAAAAAAATGAATCCTACAACGGATTTGGGCACTGCCATGAACAAATGCAGATTTCTGGAAGGGCACATCCCTGTCTCTTACAACTAAGACATGAATTGCACTTCATGGGAAATGGCTCCATATACCATGTGAAAGGAATGATCACTGTGCACCAAGTAAAAGGGGACTGTACTTATTTATTGGGAAAAAAGTGTTTTTATCATCTCAGTATTTTTTGTCCCTTAGTCAACATTCACACGCATTACAACAAATATAGTCAATATCCTCCCCCCTTACACTTTGTGCGAAACGGACGACGGGACGCGTTCGTTCGATCGATTGAGAGCCAGCTAGCGAAAAGATAACACTGAAAGTTAAGGCGAACATTGAGGGCGCTGTCAATTACTATAGCAACATACCTCGCTGGGTTGCTCGATAACGCAACGGATTGCGGAAGACGATAGGTCTCCAAGTTATAAGTCAATTGCCTGAAGTATCATAGATCCTGTAAGTATTTTCCAGTTATGCCTTATTGGAAGGATATATTGAGCTTGGTATGAATGAATTAAGGACTTTATCAATTCAATGTTTATAAGAAATGACCAAATTCATCACCATTTCACACGACAGTGCAGCGAATTTCATCACTCGTACTCGCGTACTAAACTTTCATCTAAAACAGTTAAACACGAGGGTCCCAAGCTGTGGAGCACATTAGATTCTTCTTTAAAAAACACAGCAAATCGCTCACTATTTAAACGTAAGTTTAAGACTTTTTTACTTAATAAATATTTGTAATTGATTATTCCACGGGGCTGCAGGTTTTTTTTTTCATTATGTTAATATTACATGTATATTTGTTCTTGTGTGTTTTACATGTTTGTATCTTGACTGTACGTTAGTGTATATGGGAGTCCCTACTAGACAAACGCTGCTTTTTCAATGCTCAATCACATCTCATGTTTAGTTTCTATACATGTTTTTCTTTGGTAGATAAATTCCCCTGGAGGATTTTTAAGGCAAATAAAGTCCCACATCAATTTGTTTTAGACTGGTTAGGTTCCTTTTTTCAACACATTGACTGGTGTAAAAACATAGACTGAAACCTGTCTAAACTTCTGTAACAATAGCCACTGCAAAGTTATCTTCTGACAATTTAAGATTTTCCCAAGCTGAATGGACTTTACTCTGGGAAAATCCAAATGTTCCTAGCAACAGAGGCTCCTTTGGTCAGAACTGCATGCACTTGGCTGTTCAAGAACAATTATAAAATGCACGCCACAGTCGTGTCGCTACCAACAAAATGAAAACTCCTGACCAACATGGCTCTTTTCAACTGATGAGGGGGGTACTTCTTCTCAAGGCAGATAGGGCATATATAGTGGAATTTATGTGTGGTGGAGTATGTGGAAGAGGTGGCAGTAAGTCATTTTTGCAAGTCTTAGTTAAGTCACAAGTCATTATATGCAAGTCACAAGTCATTAGGTCCAGTAACAAGTCAAGTCACTAGTCATTTGGTCTAAACACAAGTCAAGTCACAAGTCTCTTTCTCCAAGTACAAGTCAAGCTGCACATTATTTTGTTCAGCTGTACTAATCAGCAAAAAGAACCAGGCGTCAACTTATGAAGTTATGAGTTATAAAATATATGAGGCCAGTTGAGTAGCGTCTGACTTAGGTTGGTAATGAGTCATTTTTTGCAAGTCCAAGTCAAGTCACAAGTCAAAGCTGGTATTTACAAGTCAAGTCAAAAGTTACAAAATAGCGACTTGAGTCCAAGTCACATGACTCAAGTCAGCAACTCTGGTATGTGGTTGCCAAATATAGAACTCTTGCCAATATTTAAAAGTTTATCGAATTTCTACCGCTTCCCAACTCCAGAGTTTGTGTTTGGTGTTGCAAGCCACAATGTCTGCCTTGCACTGGGAAGCTCAAAGGAAACAGGGCGTGATTGACAAGAAGAATAAATTTGAACTGGAAAGGAAGGTATGTTATTCTCAAACCTTCGGTGTAGAAAAAAGCTAGCACGTAAGAAAATTGCCATGAAATAGGGTCCTTCACTGAAAATCTCTTTCGAATTGCAACTCGAGCCCTTTTTTAAATTGGAGATATCTACAATTCCCCGTGCTCAAAGTGCTATATCGCTATTACTTCCTGCTCACTGGCCCCATGAATATTCCTGAAACCATCTCAGCTCCCTGGGGAGTGTAAAGCTTAATGGTTCTATACTGAAGGTTCAAAGAGCTCATCAAACCCAACAACCATCTCTGCCTTCACAGGCACCCATTTTGGCTGGTAGAGAGACAAAATGGGAATGAAATTACTTTTTCAAGGTCATAGCATGTACATGTCACCTGTTGCTGGATTCAAGCCCTTGACCCTATGTTTGGAAATTTACAGACCCTTAATGCATGTCTGCATGCCTCCTTTGTTAATGTTCCACTTAATAGGAAAAGCTCAGACTTCTCCAAGAGCAGAACCAGAGGGAGTTGCAGGAGAACCGATCTAGGCAGGGATCGAGTTATGAGAAGCAACTGAGCAAAATGATAAGTCAAAGCGGGCGGTGCGCTCGAGGCGAGTACCATCAGAATAGGGATGCCCAACGGCGACAGGAGTTTTACAACGCCACTAAAGGAGACCACAATGCCAAGATACAACTAAGATATAATGTAAGTATGCCAACTCCTTGACTCATGTTCAACCTCACTTGTGGGTGCTGGTCAGAGTTTTAGGGACTGCCTTATCACACAGCTAAGAAGATTAGGGACAATTCCCTGAATTGCTACTGTGCACTATCTCAGACTCAGGGTACTTGCTGGATTATGTTTAAGCAAATGCATAAACTAGTCAGCCTAAACTCTACCAATAGTACTAGAATTGTACAAGTACATGTACTGGAGAAAATGGTTCAGTTAATGCCAAAACTTAAATGGAATGTAGCTTTGATCACTAACTATCTTTATGTACTTTTACATGGCTTACTTGTAACACCGTAGCTTATGAAACCTGGTCTGTGACCTTGCAAAGTCTCACTGGAAGTAATCATATACTGGTTAGAGGATCTCATACATTGGAATGATAAAGGAAATTATAACATGGTTCCTTCAAATCGGGAGCATCCCCTATTCTTACCGGGAATGACACCTATTCCAGAACAGGAACAGTGGTCAACGCCTTTGCACGCTTTCCTCAGGAATGGTTCATTCTCATCAGGAATATGGCAAGTTCCCTGAGAAATGTGTCAGGGTTCTGTAAAGGAACATTCCAGAGGGAACAGTAATGTCCTGACCTTTGAAATGTTACCTCATCGATGTGTCTAACTTTTTTTTTCTTTCCAATGCAGGATATTGACTTTGCCCAGCAGTGGTAACACACCATATCATCCAGTATTGAGGATGTGCTCATCAAAGTGCGTAACATCACCACACAATTAGTATTACATTCTTCAAGAGGCATTTTGCAATATATCCTTTTAAACCATTTCTGTTTGCGTCAAGGACAATCTGCAAGGAGACGATCTATTCTAAGAAAACCGTGGCTGCAGTGGTATACATGTTTTTACTCATGTGAAACAGCATTTTCAACCACGCTCTGAACATTTTTTCTTCAAATTCTGAAGTGTCCAGTTCACTTTCATGGACAACTGTGCCAATAAATTTTGTTACAATTTCATCAAATACATCCAGTGACTTCTTTCTGTTAAATACCTGTTTCTTGTACATCTGAAAGCAATATTGAATAAATGAACCAATGACAATAATATTTTACATGTCAGAAACACTTTACAGAAAAATACACAAAACCAATCAGTCAACTTTGTCATCCGTTTACATTTTAGTTCACATCCTATTTTTCCAAATTGGTAAATAGGATGTCTTTTAAGCATTTTACGATTTGGTTTCAATGCAGTGCCACCATTTATTGGGGGGGNGTTTTGTGTTTTTCTCGTCAGCAACTTGCTGCAGGTCATTCAAGGATAAAACTTGGTTTGTGTGCTATAAAAAGTAAACATATTTTATGAATGTTTTTCAGTAAAATCTACAAAGCAGAATGAACTTGTATTAAAGCATGCGACAACCACATGCATGTCATTTGCAGCATTTGTGGAACAGTTAACATTCAATGGTATCACAAATACCTCAGACTACCCAGAGAAGGTACTGAGTGAGACTGCCTAACAGAACTTTTAAACTTTATACAAGTACATTTACAAATATGTGCATGAGAATTCTTTGTCTTGTAAAGTGCTGCAGCTGGTTAACATGTTATTAAGCAGAACTTGTCCTGACATTCAGACCTTTGACCATATGTCAACATCCATCTTCCAAACACAGTTGATCTATGCAAGAGCAGTGAGATTGTGAATTAGGAAGCTAGACAAATCATGTAGTATGAAGACAGTAATTATCACAACCAATAAAAAAAGTATCCTCGATACCATTTTCAAAGTAATGAAATTAATGTATTCGGGGAAAAAATGTATAGTTGTAAATAAGCACCCATGCAGTTGCTCATGTAACCACATGGAAGTTCAAGGGCATCGACATTTGACTATTTTGTTTTGTATTCAAAATGTAATGTATTACTTTTATTTATTATTTGCTGGAGTATTATTGCAGTGTGACTATTTTGCATCAGACAGCATTTGGCATTAAATGACTGTTGGGTCAAAAAATGAATTCAGTCCAGTTACTATGTATTTGTGTATCCGCAGAGACTTTACTATTCAAATATACCTTCAGAGAGCACTGCCTGCCTGAGCAAGCTATCCAAATCTATCCTCAGAGGTCACTATCCGACTTAGCACTCTGTCCGAAACAAACCTCAGAGGTCATTGCCTGACTCACCATTCTGTCCAAAACAAACCTCAGACGTCATTGCCTGACTCAGCACTCTGTCCAAAAC